TGTAATGGAATTGAAATCAATTTCTGCAGATTGGCATCATGTCCACACAACCGAAGTGGTTGGGACACTCAAGAATAATACGTTAAAACATATTTGCAACACTTGGCTGAATTAACTATCTCATTAGAATATAATTTATAGCTTTGGCAATTAAAAGCTTTAACTGTATTATAAAAATGGGGGCATGTGATTGTGGAACCAATAAGCAGCCTCAAACCAAATGCAATTTAAAGGAGTTTGGAGTTAATTACTTAATTACGCTTTCAAGATTGAGGCTAGGTTGACTTAAGAGGTCAAAACTAGCAATTTTGGGAAACAGAATAGAATTTGATTAGAGTTAGAAATTGTTTATGTAGTATCTCAGGATTAAGGAAAACATTCGAATTTAAATTGAGCATACCTATCTGTGAACAAGCTAGGTCTGACACCATGCTGTAGGGATAGTGATCAAGGGTGTATCCTTGGTTTGATGCTTTTTTAAAAAAGCAAAGGTGTGTTTGCTGATGGAAAAAGGTGGCAGTTCAGTTGATGAAGAAACAGAAGTAGTAGTTTGCTTTCCCTAAGGCTGCATCTAACTGAATTGAGGGAGTCAATAGGAGGTGGCAGTCAAATGAAAGCAAAATACTGTGGATGTTGGAAATCTGAAACAAACGCTGAGAAATGTCTGGCAGCATCTGCGGAGAGAGAAACAGAGTTAACATTTTGAATCCAGTATGATGCTTCTTCAGAACAGAAAGCTGTGGAAAATGTTTTTTATATAGTTTGGGCAGAAGTGGTGAAGAAGCAAGGGGGTCAATGGTGTACAGGCCCAGTGCAAAGGACAAAGAGGTCATTAATGGTGGCAAAAGAGGTGTAATATGGCTGTGAAAGGGAGAGAATGGGTCCTTCCCATACCTGTAGAAAATCAGAGCATAGGATTGAGAAACTGATCAGTAAATCAGATCAGAAGTAAATGCAATTCAATTGCTTTCCCAGCACAGGATGAATTTTCTCCCTTTCATGCCTTAATTTCTGTTTTTGTTTTGGAGGCAAAAGTCAGTCAGGGATGGCAGAAAAACTGAAATTACATTTATTTTTGTCTGAAAATACAGACACACAGAGACGACCAAGACTGGCCATATAAAACATTTATAACCTCAGCTTTGGAGTGCTGCTGGTTGTGCCTTTTAGTAATAAGCAGTCACAATTCAACACAGAGATAGTGGGAACTGCCGATGCTGGAGTCTGAGATAACAAGGTGTGGAGCTGGAGGAACACAGCAGGCCAGGCAGCACAGAAGAGCAGGAAAGCTGACGTTTCGGGTCTGGATCCTTCTTCGGTTTCTGAATCCTTCTTCGGTTTCTGAAGAAGGGTCCAGACCCGAAACGTCAGCTTTCCTGCTCTTCTGATGCTATGACCCAATATTGTTGTTAGATTGATAATTTAAATGATGGTTTAGGAATTACACTTTAGCCCTTGCTGAGATTGTTTTATCAATAGCAGCTTGTTTTATTGTTATAATGGCAAATAAGATGCAGTCAACTAAATTTTATCATAGTTTTTTTCTATTGATTGTATCAAGAGTCTATACATGCTTCGTAGAAAGAGAAATATTATTGTTTTTAACGAATTGGTTTTCTGTCAATTTACATGGACTGTTAGCAAGTAAGCAATTTTAATGACACTCACTTCCAAGATTTGTGTGAAGCCTGACATCATTTATATTATTGAAGAATTTTGCTATTCAAAATTAAGACAACTGCAAAAAGTTACACAACGATCACCTGGATACGAATGTTTCTTTGAGAAAGAACCTCACAATTTATGCTCACAAAACTTCAGTTTTAATTCCTCAAAATAAGTTTATGACATGTACAACTGTAAAATAAATCTTTGAAAATGAAATCACATGGAATGCAACTTTATTGCTAATGAGGGAAATTAACTCATCTAGAACTCTCAATGTTATTGACAATAATTCCTAGCCTTATAGGTGATTGGTTTGTTCACTTTCCCACCCAATGGGACAATCTATCAAAGCAGCCACTGTAGTATACAGGGCAACTAACCAATTTGCATTGCAAAGAGGACAGGTCAATTAATATTTGGATGGAGTGTTTTGGAGGCTCAAATGAAATAAAGCTGCCATTTCTCTTTCAGATACTGAGCATCCTCCTGTGCATTTCCAGTCTCCTCCAATGCCATGGATCATTGACTCCTAATGACAAAATGCTTCTCTTTGCGAGCATTAAGCAACAGTAATCTTATCCACCAAAGTCAGAGGGGGTAAATTATGAATGTGTACTTTGTTAAAGAGGTATTGTTAGAATAGGAACTCATACCTTTGTGACCCACTGTTGGAGCCAATACATTATGTTGTTTCTCTTTTGGGATCTGGTGAGCCTGCTGTACTGTGCAAGCATTTTCTGTTTAAATTTCAAACTGAATTCATAGGTTTTCCATCTCCCTACATTTCCTCTTTTTCCTCAAAGCCTACCCACTATCTCCAAGACACAAGTTAACAGTATGCCCTCCACTTACCTCGATGAGTGCAGCTCCACCAATACTCAAGAAGCTTGACTACATCCAAGGCAAGGTTTGACTAGCAGCCCATCCAATATCCTTAACACTTGCCCCCACCACCACCGACACACTGTGCACCATCAACTAGATTGCATTGCAGCAACTTGCTGACACTCTTTCAACAGCATTTTCCAAATCTGCAGCTTCTACCATCCTGGAAGGGCAAGGCAAGTAGGCACCATCTGCAGGTTCCCCTCCAAGTTACTAATCACCCTGAACTGAACTATATTGTCATTCCTTCCCTATTGCTAGGTCAAAAAGTTAGATCTCCATCCCAAACAGCACTTTGGGTGCACCTAACCATATGAACTGCAGTGATTCAAGAACGCGGTCACCATGGCACTCTCGAGGGTAATTAAAATGGGCCGTTGCAAAAAAGAAAATCAGTTTCCCATTTCAAGCCATTTGGACATCTTGTATTTCCTGAACTCCTTTTGTGCTCCTTTTATCACACATCAGCTAGTTCCTCCATTGCTGTTTCTCCCTCTTCTTTCACTTTCTGATCTTATTGACACTTTTCATATTCAAAAATACCACTGACCACACTGTGCATCCATGTCAAATGGCCCACTGTGTTTAATCTGCAAAGATCCAAACAATTCAGTCATGTGACTGCAAAACTCCCTCTTCATCAACTTGTATTTATACAGTCCTCTTAATGTAATAAAAAACATGCACACGTGGTCATAGAAAAGAAGGACAGAGGGGAGATGGAGCGAAGTGAAAAGGAAAATAAATTCTTCAGTGAAACACGCCAACAGTCACAGAGGAAATTCACATGACGTAAGCATAGTCGAGATTAGAAGAGACATAAATTGGTCCTAAATAGAGAACACATCCAGTCATTGTCCCTTCTCCTCCAGGCCCAGGCTCCAACCCTTTTATTCCAACGGTACTGTGGCTAGCCACAATGCTTTTAACAACAGCACCCAAAACCTCAGCAAATATTAAAGGAAAATTGCCCAAGCAAGGGTCACGAATGCAACAGAATCTTTTTGTTTTTACAAAAAGTGAATTCTCCTCTTCCGCATGCGCTGACTAAAAGAACCAGACCCTGGTCTATCCTGATGTCCTTCGAGTTATCTCTGTAAAGGCACTGATCCCTGAGTTCTGCTAAGTTCTAAAGGCTCAGGGTTTACAATAGTATGGGGCAGACAAGGATGTTTAATTCTTTCCTGATGCGGTTTCTATTTGTTTAGATTTGTAAGGTGAAGGACAGCAATTCACCTACAAGATTCTGGATCAGTCTTGCTCAGTTGCTATTCCAACATCTCTCATAGCAGCTTTGTTGTGTCCACTCTACAGTTGGTGCACAAGTAGACCAAAGCAGCCAGTCAATCTGATAAACCAGTATCACAGCAAGAGCTTATCTAACCTTCACTGGAATCTACAGATTCAAAGTGGTTTTGATGTTGGCCATAAAGCCAGAGGATCTCCAAACATAAAACTGCAGATAGTACAACTCTCACAGTTTATAATTCAGCTGCAAACCCCAAACCCCAGTTTAGAGATTAAGCACACCAATTCACCCCAATCGTTTATCACTCTACTCCAAAGCTATTATGTCAGGACAACTTACTGAAAGTAATGGAAGCTGTAGTTATGTTCAAGAAAAGGTTAATGTCACATTTTTAGGAGCAATTTTGAAAACGAGTCAGGTGGTGTTCAATCGAAGAAGTTGAAGATACAGACAGAAGAATCTGTAGAATCGGCGACTTAGCAAAGTGAAAATAATTCACCCTTTTAACCTGGATACTCTCCGTAACACTGTTCTGGACCAGTAATTCACTGTTGACAACACAGGTATTCAATGAATGGCACCAAATAAGATGTAGGAGCAGAAGATGGTCATTCAGCCCATTGATTCTGCTCCGCCATGCAATAAGATCTTGGCTGATCTGATAATTCTTACCTTTCCTGGCTTTTTCACCTAACCCTTGATTCCTTTTAAAATCTGTCCATCTCAGCCTTGAATATATTAAATGTTCAACCTCGGCAGCCCTCTGCGGTAAAGAATTCCACAGAGTCACTGCCCTCGGAGGAAAAAAAAAAGTTCCTCCAGATCTCTGGTTGAAACATGTGACCCCGTATTCTGAGATTATGGTCTCTGGTCCTACAATCTCCCACAAGGAGAAACAACCTTCCCACACCTAAGCTATCAAATCCACTAAGCACTTTGTATGTTTAATTAAGTTGTCTCTCATCCTCCTAAATGAGTACAGGCCTAATCCAAATATCTCTGTTGTGAACTCACAACATAACGCATTTTTTTTTAATGCAACCTGCCCCTGTGCAAAGGCAGTACCACTGGACTTTCTATTTTCACTTCAATCTAAACCAATAGCTCCCTTAAGAGCAAACTCTGCTTACAGATAATTGAAGCTGCTTCAAAATGGCTTACTGAGAGTATCACGGATCGGTCTTATATTTGTACTCACCCTGGAGGAATCGAAGCCCTCGTGCTGACCACAGCTGATCTCTGGGTACCTGGTCTGTTGAGGTTGTTCTGGCCTGGTATCGGCGTCGCTGAGGTGGTGCTTTGGCTTTGGGAGATCGGGGACAGTTGAGTTGTGGTGGGGGAACGGGTCTGCTCAGACTTTGGAGGCGTGCTGCCGGCTGTGCTTGCCGTCGACCACAAGGCGGCGCCACTGTAGGAGTTGCTCTGGCGCACAGTAAGAGTCCCGTTGGTGGCAGAATAAATTTTCCGTCGCTGGGATGCCAGGATGGCATTGGAGGCTGCCCGCGTGCTGTTCACCAGGACGCACTGCTGGCAACTGCAAGGCTGACCCGACTGGGCACCAACGGGCCAGGATTGGGACTTAGGGATCGAACCCATCGTCAGAGGATAGGCCAAGTCCATACGCCGGCGTAGTCGACGCTTCCTCTGTGTCTGTCTGTTCATCTGACACATACTGTTGAAGTCAATAATGTAACAGAATCCTAGAGAAGTCAGGTCTAGCCAAGGATGCTGTTTCTCATACGCATTCTGAATGGTTATACAAATATCCATATCATACGGAGTCCAGGAGCAGCTGTCGTTTTCCCATTCCCACACTATCCCTTTTCCTGGAGCAGAAGAGGGGTCGTAAAAGTTTCTTCGAACTGGACGCATGGTTCCTGAAAATTGGAAGAGAACAAGTTTTACTCGCTCAGGATTAAACAACGAAAGCTCACATCTTATCGCATTCTTACCTATCATTGTCGCAACTTAGATACAAGCCACACCAGTCAGCAGTAAATCATCACACACCGTTATAGGCAACGGTTACGGAGTCCTGCAAGGCACCATTTTGAACAGAGACATTTGTGACCGTAGGAGTGTGGGGACCAAGTCTTGATGTGGCAGGGAACTTTAGATGTGCTGTGTGGAACACTTTCAAAGAGTGGCTTTGTCCTACATTGGAGCAGGAATAGGCCATTCAGCCCCAGTCAAGCCCATAATGACTCACTGAGGTCATGGCCTAACTCCACATATCTGCCGATGACCCAAATCCCTGAGTACCGCTGCTTACCAAGAATTGATCTAACTCAGTTTTAAAATTAACAATTGATCTAACATCAATTGTCATTTGTGGAAGAGAATTCCAAACCTCTACCATTGTATTAGAAGTGTTTCCTAATATCTCTCCTGAAGAGTCTGCCTCTAATTTTTATTCTATGCCCTCTGGTTCTAGAAACTCCAATCAGTGGAAAGATTTTACCTTTATCTACCCTTTCTTTTCCCGTCAATGTCTTCAAGACTTCAATCAGATCACCCCTTAACCTTCTAAATTCTAGAGAAAACAGGTATAATTTGTATAATCTCACCTTATAACTTATCCCTTGAAGTCCAGGTATGATTGCACCAAACACAAATCATTTGATGGAGCAAAGAACACTTAAAACTACTTACCAACCTGCATTTCATACACACACAAAAAAAAAAATCACAATCAAAATTAATAACTGAAAAATAAAAAAAGATGTTCAGCAGATCCTTTACTTAGCCTCTGCAATGTCTCGGGCAAAGCTGTAGACATTGTTTAAAATACCACCAAAGCAATGAAATGAGACCCAGACCTGCAGTTTGTGCAGTGATAGATTTCTTTGCATCTCATTTGACATCTGTAGGAACATTCATCAGGATGCGCTGACTGAAAATATCTCATCCAGAAACCTTTGATCATGACAAAGACTCTTTATTCAAGTATCCACTGTGACAGCTGCCATCACACATATGGCAGCAGTAATGAAAAAATATTGTGTAAATCAAAGTGGGCCAGCTACAGAACCCCTATATTAAATCACGTCTATCTCCAGACACTGAGATAAAATAAGTCTTTCTTAAAACGAAAGTTAAGATGTGAATCTTGAAACCTCCACTTTTTTTGAACAGCACCTCTTAGTGAACATGGTTACGGGCCACATGCTGGAAAATGGGAATAGAATAGATAGACAAGGATATGATAGGCCTTTACGTGTTGTAAAGACTCTATGCCTCTCTTTGAGTTCATGCAGCTTAACAGTTGACATCACGAGGTCAACTTTCCTAGTGAACACCACATTTTTAAAGTGGAATGATGAATAATGCAGTGCGATATTTAGTCCGTGTGTGTTTGAGAGTATCTACAAAAATGAAAATATCGACAATTTTTCATGAAACACCAAATACAAAAATGTTTCGTAAGTTCAGTCGCAATCCAGGGATGAAAGGGACACAGAGATTTAAGGCGTCAGGGCTGAGGCAAGAGATTCAGGAGGAAGCGAAGGAGGAAACTTCTTTCACAGCAAGTGCTATTTGGCCTGGAACCCACTCCTCAGTCGTGTGACAGGACCAGAGGAAACCATTAAAGGCAGCTCTAATGGAAAATAGATGGGCTTTTGAGGGAAATACATTTTCAGTGTGCCTAGTGGGCCTGCAGCGTGGCAGGCCCAGAGCGAAGCAGGGACAGCCAGCAGGCCAGAGCAGAGCAGGGACGGTGGCCCGGAGCAAAGATGGCTACTGGTTGGGAACCAGTGGAGCCCAGCCAGACCAAGTGGAAGCCCTTATAAAGCTAGAAGGATGGAATTTTCTCTATATTTTTTGTACCTAAGCTTTGTACCTAGGTACTTTGTACCCAAAATGGCGGTGTGTTGGCAACATTGTACACTTTTCACTATACTCCTGTTCTTTTGTAACTTGAGTACATGTGATAATAAACCTAATTCTAATTGTAATAATTCTAGTGGAAATAGAGCAGGGGAATAGAACCGACTCCACTGCCCTGCAAATAGTAACATGGACTCAATGGGCTGAATGGTCCCCTTTTGAGCTGTAATTACATTATGACATAACAACCAGCAATCTCCTTGCTCCAGCCTGTTTACAGAAAGTGTTGCTCTCCTCCAATGGCAAGATGATCCCACAGGCCTCACAAATCGCACACTGACTACGTAACCAGTAAATCAGTCCTCGCCTCCCAGATGTACTTTCTGAAAACATTTCTCCACGTTTAACAGGAACTCAAATAAAAGAACTCAGTTGGAACATTTCCTCAGCACATTAAATGTGAGAGTATTGGGATGGGGGAGTTGAGGGGGTTAGCGTGGACACCAATCTTCTTACCAAAACTAAATCCGTACACACTACTTAGCAAAACAACTCACTTCCCATTTTAATCCAGATGTAAATGATACTTCCTGAAAGTTGCAGATGAACATTAGAATTTTTCCACATTATTTTAAAACTATTTCCTCAATAGAAACAGCATAAGACTGACATTCCTTTCTTCAGCAATGTCAATAAAGCATTGTTTAACACAACAACTACAGTCTAACTGAGCAACATGATCTAGTCAGCATTGCATTATGTCAGAGAAAACTAGAGCACAAAACAGGCCATTCAGCCCATCAAGACTACCTCATGATTACTCTCCAAACTGGTTATCTGGTGTGATTCTGTATCCATGCTCTTAATGGACTTTTTTTCAAGCAATTACCTGATTTTCTGTTCCCTGAATTTTAAGTTTCCATTCAAAGAAAGATTTGTGACAGAGAATTCTAAGTTTTCTCCTTTTTTTTTGAAGACTTTTGCTTGAATAGACTGAGGTGGGAGTGGGAGAACATTCTTGGGGTAGCTCAGCCTCCAACTGCAGTTTACACTGGGGCTAATGCTTGTTGGTCTGGATGACGTTGCTGATTTTAATCAGGTTTCTGTACAGAAACAGGAGGCGAGATGCCACTCTCCATCCCAACCCATCACTGTGGCTTCTAGGTCTTGCTGTCAGGTTCAAATGGGGACCCTGAAGACCACAATATGTGGCAAACAGTAACTGTCCAGAGAACAGGCTCACAATCCTTAGAGTGGAAGCAGGCCATGTGGCCTATCGAGTCTGCATCCGCCCACTGAAGAGCACCCACAGAAATTCATCCATCCCTCATCTTATTCTGCGTAATCCTGCATTTCCCATGGCTAATCCACCTAATCTACACATCACTGGACACTATGAGCAATTTGGCATGGCCAGTCCACCTAATCTGCACATTTTTAGACGATCGGAGGAAACCTGAGCATTCAGAGGAAACATGCAGACACAGAAACAATGTGCAGTTGTCCATGGGCGGAATCGAACCCAGGTCCCTGGTGCTGTGAGGCAGCAGTGCTAACCACTGTACCGCCCATTAAGTGGGTCTTTGAAGCTGGAACCCTCCAGTACAGTTTCCATGTTCTCTTACTGTCCTAATTCTCTAACAGCTTGTCACAAGCACAGAATAGTTGGTGTTTGGTCAGGCTTGCAATTGGACTGGAGCAGCTTAAACATAGACACTGATGCTATATGGAAGTATCACCATAGTGCTTACACACTCTTTCAGTCGAGGGGCTGGGATAATATAGAAAAATAGTCAATAAGCTCAAAAGAATTTATAATAGTCTTCAGACACCAAATGATGCTTAACCACCATTAGTACAACACCTGCAGTGACCAGAGCAATGATTTTGATGAAAGCAACTAGGGAAGATCGGACAATCTGAACGAAAAGGGAAAAATTCAGAAGTAAGGAGTTGAAATTAAATCAAGAAAAAGAAACCAATGAAAGTGTGTAGCAAGCTTATTAGCATTTGCAAAAGCAAAGTGGATGAATATTGTAGATGGAATAGTGTTTTGAGTCAGTCCAAGCAAGGAGCTCTCCAGACTGATGATCCAATTCTCTACAGTGGAGATGGGTCAGCAGTGAATATCAAACATACAATGTTCATTTCACAAGGGTTGTTAGAGATGGGCAGTAAAAGGCTGGCCTAAGTGGTGTCACACACAACCAGGAAAAGCCAAGCAATCCATTCATTCATTACTGTTGCTAAAGAAAGGGAATTAGTCAAGATCTTGATAGCAAATGAGATTCAGAGGAATTAGAAACATATCAACATTGAACTAGATAGGGTGATGGTCTAGGCCTACTCCCAATATGAGTTTAATTGGGTCTTTCCTCTTCAAGTTACTTATCTCAATAAGGAGCATAAAAGACTCTGCCCTGCATCCATGAACGTTTCTAGACCTCTATTTGTGTTCTTTACTAAGCCTTTAATTTACACTGAAGATAAAGAATCACAATTGCAAGGGATGCAGGCTCAAGCTTGAAATAGGGAAGGTGAATGAATAAGGAATGTGGATTTAATTACTGATCACAAAATGCTCAGTGAATTTGTGCTTAAGGCACACCAGTGAAGTCAGATATCACTGATGTATTCCAAAAGGAACCAAACAGTTCTTGAGCAGCGAGCTAGAAAAAGAATATTGGGTAGGTTATGACGTGCAAAGTGCCTAGCTCAAATTAGCAGCCTGTTTTACATCCTTTCTGAAGGGAAAGAACACTGAGCGAGCTGCTGGTTCTTATTTGTTAACACACATCTCACACTATCAGACGAAGTCAAAATATACCACAGCTTGTTGATTTTAGTTTTATTTCTGAATGTAGGCACTGGGCAGATGCAGTGTGATCGACTTTTCTACTGTTCTGCCCTCCTATATTCCAATTTTTACAACTTAAACAATGTTGTTTTTCGAAAACAATATAAACTAATAATTTTCCTGTACATTCATTCAATGAGATTAATACAACATTGGCCTGGAACAGAAAAGTATGTGCTTTGGTGCTGAGTG